TTTCCGGTGGTCAAGAATTGTGGATAAATCTTTTGCCTTTTTACTAAAGATTTCCGTGGCCAGGTGTCAATTTCTTTAACCCCTGGCAGCCATATAACTGAAAATTACCAATGTTGTTTTCCTTCAAACTCTCAATTATATGCCTGAAATAGTTTGATTATGATTTAGGTTTCTGATTTTCCAAGAAAAAAAAAAAAAATAACTCTAGAAGATGTGATGTTTTTTTCAGAAGTGTGCATCCATAGTTTTATCAGATGATGTTAATACATTTTTTGGTATAATAAATTATTTTTAAAATAGATGCAAATAATAGATTTTAATAAGCTTTCTAATTTATGATCTGTAAAGAAATAACTTTTTAATAAGAGCATTCCCAGAGGTTTATAGTTTCAAATTTAATTTTAAAAGGATTATCAATTTTATCACTTTTTTTATTTATAATTGAAGAAAAAGAAAACAATTCTTGCAAAAATTCATTTTTCAACAAAAAAATTTTGGCTTCAGACAAAAACGTCCTTAATATATATTATTGATAAAAGCCATTAAAAGCTGTTTTCATTAAATAATGTCTTAGTTTTCTTGAGTTTTGTATTTTAAATTCAGAGCTAAAGTTTGGGTTGTTGCAAATAAAAATTTTACATGAAATTGATGATTTATATTCCTCAAAGTCTTCTTCATTTAATTAAAAAAAAATTACAATTACAGTTACTAGTTTTAAAGTTTTCATAAAATTAAGTGGTGGGGTATCCGACATAAAAATATTTTTACCATGACTTTCTAAAAAACAAACATAAATTCATTCATTTTTTAAATGTTCTGAAAGTTTCATTACATTCCGACAATTATTTGGTTTTTGCAAGAATTTCCACATTAATGTGTTTTCAACTGAAAAAAAATGTAATGCTAAATATTAGGTAACCTCTGTTAAAAAACAAGATTTTCAACCAAAATTTCAAACGTTCTAAAAAGGAATAAAAAAATTTTAAAAATAATTAAAAAATACTAAAAAATTTGGTTTTTATTAAGTTTGGGGCCTTTTTCATCAGGGTATGCCATTTTTTTTAGTGAAAAATTGGATAAACTTAAATTTATGTAAGTAAATGCCCTGTTTTTAATTAAAAAGTTATATAAAAAAAAAATGGATTTTTCCTTTGTTCATTTTTTATTGTTTTTTTTTTTTTAACTTAATGCATTATTATTTAAAAATAAATAAATAAATGCTCAACATGACGTGTGATAGAGAAGAAGGGGAAAACAAGGGTATTGAAAATGTATTGGTCGAGGGTTTTTGGCCATTTATATCTCTTCTGCTTTTGTAAGCAAGTGCTTCAGTTTTGCAAAATCCATCTAATGGACATCTACTTTTATTTCTATAGTTTCATATTTCGCTGTTAACAATGTTTTGCTATACATTAGTTTTGAAATTTCTGGCATTTTGTCTTGTGGTTTCTAAATTGCTAGTACAGCTATAACTTAATTTAACTCTGTTTTTATAAAGTATTTTATGTAATTCAGAATTTTCTGCAAAGTGTTTAGTAAGTAATTTGATAAATATTTTACCTATTTTACATTTAGCCTCAAAGTAAAAAGTGGAGTTAAACCAAATAACATTTTTTCTTTTCCTTGAATTGTTGTTTCATTTGAGGTTTAGATTCCAGTTTGGTTTTATGCCCTTCTTTTAATGTTTTCATATTTTTTTCTTTTCATATTTTTTTCTTTTCATCTTCAAAAATTATTTTATGAGAGGAATTTCTAGATAATTTGTGCTTTATGATACTCACAGGATGGTTGGATCTAACATTCACATATTTTAATTTAGTGTTGGGTTTCATGCATGGAGAGACACTGCCAGATTGCAGATTTAATTTTACATCCAAATATTTGATAATTTTCTTATTCATATCAACTTCTATTTCAAAGTTTAGGCTTTTGATGAGTTTGAAAAGCACTTTTCTTATATTGTCATTTGTTGTTCTGTTGGCTGGCACTAGCATCAGTCCATCATCTCTATACAGGCTATGTTTTTATATATATATATATATATATATATATATATATACACACACACAATCTTTTTTATTGTAAGAGATTATAACAAAAACGTTGAAATCACTGCAAATAGCTTTCGTGTTTCAGCAACTTTGTGCTTCTTCAGGCAATTGTAAGTGACTGGTGATTCAATTATTATTTTTATTGTAAGAGATTATAACAAAAACGTTGAAATCACTACACAATAGGTAGGTTTTCATGAGACTTTTTTGATAGGTACCATAAACCCTACATTTATATGTGCGTACATTGATGACAACTTTTCTATTTTTGATTCTGCTGGAAGAGCCACTGACTTTTTTGCAGAACTCAATTCTCTCCATCCATCCCTTCAGTTTACTATGGAAGTTAAGAGTAATGGTACTTTGCCCTTTCTAGATGTTCCTATGGAATGCAAGGATGGTGTTTTTATCACCAGTATCCTTCACAAACCCATTTTTACAGGCTTGTACACAAGTTGGAACTCTTTTCTTTGGAAGGCCCACAAAATTGGTCTAGTTTCTACTCTGATTCATTGCACTTTGATGATTTGTTCTCTTAACTTGTTAAATGGAGAACTTGCAAGAATCCAAAAATTTTTGAAGGTAATGGTTATCCTACTAAATGTCATTAAACACATTATTGATAGAAAAATTAGATGGTTTAAAAACCAGTGGTTCTAGAACCTAGCCAGTGCCCAATTTACCTGAAATTACCTTGGTTAAGCAGGAAGTGCCAGTTGCCTGCTGACAGAATTTCAGTTTGTGTTGCTTCATGCTATAATGCTGTCAAGTTGCGTACTATGTTCCAGACGAGATCTGCGTTTCCATCTTTCAGCAAGGATCCGTTGTCCTATTTTCTGAATAGTTCAGTAATATACAAATTTAAATGCTGTTGTGACACAGTGTATATAGGACGGACCAATCAAAGGCTGGAAATGCATATTACGCAATACATACCTGTCTATTTGCATTCTAGTAGTCAGTCATGTTAAAAGAACCACTCAAGCAGTGCATGACACTTCTATTGGGTAGCATTTACTGGACTATCCTGATTGATCTGCCAATTATAATGACGCATTTTTTTTCCATTTTTACATGGTCCTCACTCAGTTCACCATCTCTGAATTCTTGAGGCTGTTTATATTAAGTTTTATCAGCCAAGCCTATGTAAACAAAAGGAACATTTTATTCATTCCTTACATTTGATCAAGGGATTATGAGTAACTTTTTTCTATTTTATACTCTTTTTGGCACTTCGTATTTTGTTTTTAGTCGTTAATTTATTTACAATTAAAATCTATTTTAATTGTGTTCCGACTTTCCATCCCTATTCGTTATTTACTAATGTGGCTTTGTTTCCTGCTGTTCGCCACATCCGCTTTTTGAGAAAGTGTTGGCCAAAAGGGTCCCCTCAAGGTAAAATAGTGATGTCCATTTTATTTAAATCTATTTTCTTCTTCTGTGAGTACAAGTCTTTGTTTTTGTGTGTGTGTGTATATATATATATATATATATATATATATATATATATATACACACACACACACACTGGGCATTATCAACACTGTAGAGTTACTGTCAGTTTGACACAATAAATGATCATCAGATCATCTTAAGCCATGAAACAAACAGCTATTATTATTGATTTCTATGTCAACATTGTTTATAAACACTCTATGCCAAATATTGAACATTCCACCTCCATAGATATAACAAATTTTAAACATTAAATTTTCACCATCTGAACTTACACAAATGTGTCAGGTATATTTATCTGTCCTCCCAACTAAGGCAGGATATGACACAAGGTCATTTTAACATGGGAAGTGACATACACATCTGTATGCATATGGGCCAAGGACAAAAACACTGGTTTTGAGCAACTGCCCATGACCACTATGACACTGACATCAATATTACACTGATCCCTCCTTTCTTACTACAATGAGGAAGGTGCTGTCACAGGGTTGGAAACCCGGAGCTGAGCAACTTCTCCCATTTAAATTAAGGAGAAACATAGTTCCATTTACAGTACATTTGTAACAACCATGCCTCAGAAAATCCTCATTGGCTATGGTTAACTCCTCAGGTAAGTCCTGTTCCAGGTAGGGACTTAGGCAGAACATGCATATATTCTGAACCCAAGCAAACGTCTAAATCCATACACAAATAATCTCAATATTTTTAGTAACTTGCCAGTAATAAAATAAACTAGTAACTTCCTAGCTACTATTTGAGATTGTTTGCATTTTATGGCTGAAACTGATACCTATCTACAGGTAAATAGGTAAAACAATTATATAAATATTATCCTTTCTATTTCATAGAGCTCTTCACTAGAGAAATGAGACAAAATATATTCTGATTGTTATAAAATGAAATAAGACATATCTCAGCTGATTTACAGGCAAATACTCAAGAGCGAGAACCGGATGTGAACGTGACAAAGCCCCGTCACAAAATGACCATTATCTTTCTTTACAAATGTTCCCGACACATGTGTTCCGGTCGAAAAATAAAATATTTAAAGTGCTCTATTTTTCGTCCAATAAAAATGCTTCCCTCCTAATTGTACTCGCTTCGTTTTTTGAACCTGTTAAGCCATAAAAAACGCTATAAAAGGGGTCACACGGAAGTTCAACAGGCAGTCCACAGGTGGCCGCAAAACAGACCGTCACGGTCAGGCCGAACGATCAGCAGCAGGAGAGCATCAACCACCGTCAACATGTGTGAACTACTATGAGAGATCGACCTAGATCCGAAAGCCGGCGTATGAACTTTACCACAAGGTAGCTGTCCCGAACCCTCACGTTCCTGTTGAAATAAACCACGTAAATCTATTTCTACTGTTGTCGTATTTCTTTCTTGCAACCATACGCTTGTCTATAACATGATCCATAGGTCTGTAAAATGATAAATAATAGTAAACCTGTGCAATATATCAATAAATTAAATATCCATAATGGATTACAGCCACATCAAATTGAAATACCAGTTCCTGTATGATCACTGAAGTTAAGCAATGTCAAGCCTGGTCAGTACTTAGATGGATGTTCACATGGGAATACCAGGTGTTATTAGCTTGGATATGTGGGTGGTGTAATGGATGATGGCTTGGAATTGATAATCAGAGAGCCAAGTTCCAATTCCAGTTTGGTTCATTATATTCACTTAAGCACAAATACCCAAACATAGGTATAAATCCACCACTTCACCTTTCCAGCTATGGGATAATTAGTAAGATTTGTATCACTAACACCATTATTATCACCAAAAATATAATTGTGTACAAAATATTTAGATTTTGGCATTAAATAACCTCTACTCAAAGGCCTTTGACAAAGTACAACACAAGGATCTGTTGGAACTGCTCAGCAACCTTGATATATTCAGGAAAGATATTAGAATAATAAAGAACCTATACTGGCAACAAACAGCATGCATGCACATAGAAAACAAGTTCAGCGAATATAGAAAAATAGTAAGGGGCATAAGGCAAGGATGCACCTTCTCACTCAATCTATTCAACCTGTACAGTGAGACAATTCTGAGAGAATTGGAAATCCTACTAGGATTCAATATTGGTGGCCACAATCTTAATGACATAAGATGGTACAGTACTGATAGCAGACATGGAAAAGAAATTACAAAACTTCCTACAGAAGGTAGCAAAGGAGAGCAAGAAAAAGAGACTAAACATAAACTACAAGAAGACAGAATGCAGGGTCATCAATAAAAGGATGAGCCCGAAATGCAATTTGCAGGTCAGGGACACTGAAATCAAATGCAGAAGTTTAAATATCCTTGACAGAGTACAGTAAGGGCAACATTGAGATCTGTAGATGTATTGTGATGGCCAGGAATGCATTCCAAAAGCTGAGCAGAGTATTGCAAGACAGGAGGATTTCTTTGGTAACAAAGAAAAGAGTACTGAGCTGGTACATGACATCTGTCCTCCTTTACAGCAGCGAATTTTGGATGGTCTCCTTAAAGAGGAGACTCGAGGCAACAGCGATGTGGTTCTACAGAAGAATGCTGAGGATAGCATGGACAGTGTGTGTGAGCAACGATGAGGTCTTGGAGAGGATGCAAACAAGTATGAGGCTTATACTTATCAGGAAGAGGTAGCTGAAGTTTCTAGAACACATAATGAGAAAGGAGGGCCTGGAGAATCTGATACTTACAGGTCAAATAGAAAGAAAAGGAGACAAGGGAAAGCAATGCATGAGATACCTGGTGGGCTTAAGCAAGTGAATGACGGAACGTGGTCTGTGGGAGGTGGCAGAGGGATGAAACTTATTGAGAGCCACAAGGGATAGGGGGAAGTGGAGAGCCATGATCGCCTACATCCTGAAATGACACAGCACATAAAAAGAAAGATATTGATATACCACTAAACAAAAATGACCAACCAACCAATTAAAAAAAAAAAAAAAATTCTTACAATCTAAAAATATTTTCTGGTTTTAAATACCCTGAAAAGGGTTGATAAGTCATAGAAAATGAATCAATCATTAAATATCTATACATAGTTTCAGGTCTGTTTAACATCCCACTGTCATGCAAAAGTGTTATCAAAATTCAAGATGGTTTAAAATTTGAACATTTAAAAAAAAAATCTAGACATAATTAGAAATACATTTAAAAGCTCTATAAATAAATCAAAATATCCTATTTTTCACTACATGGCAATGAGAAAAGCCCAAACTAGAGAATTTATAAACAAACTACAAACAAAAAAAAATTTGACTACAACTCTGTCCGATATGCCATACAGTGCAATCAGATTTGTGAATAATCCCTTTATCATCAGTAAAGGGACCACAGTTGTCTGATTGCTTTTATTTATTTTTGTCTTTCTACATTAACATGAATCAAGTACTGGATTTAGATATTAGATTAAGTTAATCTTTTAAATAATTCCCATAATCACAAAATAGTTATCTTTCTAGTATGAAATGAAATTTGCTTTCTTTTCTTTTGGTAGAATCATATACAGTCTGTGTGTATTTTTCCTTTTATAAAAATGAAGTGTTTATAGATCATATTTAAACAATATAGATAAATTTACCTACACTGAAGTACATCCATAATTGGGGAAGTGGCATTTGATAAAACCACCACCACTACAAAAAAGTTAAAATCTGATGCTCACTCAGAGATTTAACCATTCATTTGATCATCAGTTGACCATCCTGCTGCAGTAAATTTATTGGTGTTAATTTTGGTTCATCATCATATATGTAAATACATGAAGATAGCAGACCAAAATCAGTTTGATTTCCACCATTAGAATTGAACAGTTCCTTCTATTACACCTTAATGAAGTAAATATCATCTTCCTAAAATTTCTATTAAATTTGTCTTTGACAATTTATACATTAAATATGTTAACACTTTTTTTTAATATTATGTTACCTAATAAGTAAGATATTTTCATTTTTAAAACCATAATTAAATATATGCTGAAATATTCATCACTTTTTTTAAAAGCCAATGAATAGAGAAAGGCTTAATGAAAAACATAGTAGTAATATTCTAAATATGAGTTGGTTATAAAAAAATTACCTGTATAATAGTAATACACATACTTAACCAATTCCTTAAGTCTGCCTAGCAAATGCTTCCTTTGTATTATACAGGTAATGGTATAAGCAAGAGCAAGGAACTAAATAAGCATTCATGATATAATTGTTAGAAAACACAGAATTTGGACTCATAAGAGGGTTGTAGCAATCTCAACATTGATTATTGATGTCATGTGATTATAATACCTTTGTCAAAGATACTAATTAATTCCTCGTGTCCCTCATTACTATGCTATGTGCATCCCAAATAGCATTAATAACCGAGTTGTAATTACAAGTAACATCCTTGCTATAATTATATGCATTTCGTATAATCTAAAACAAATGACAGAATGGGGTCCTCCTAGTTCACAATTGGATAAGTTCTCTCAGAGGCAGATATAAGATCAATGTCTATGATTTTATTTTCAGTCTTTTATGACAGAGCTCACAGGTTAACTTCATTTTGATGATTTTAAAATGTAGACTGATGAGATTGATACAATGCAAATTATGGTATGAATACAACCATATGATACAATGGTGGTTTAAAGGAGTTACATTTTATTAAAAACTATCATGTTTTCTCAAGTTACTTGTATAATTGGCCACAAGCATTTCTGTGGACGTGAAAATGAGACTAACCTCAGTTCTCGGCATAAGAGGGTTCGTTTGTGTCTGGCGTGTAGGGCAGTAATTGGTCCGAAGAAAGAAACACCACCATTACGGTGAGTCGGACTTATGGAAACGCGATCTCGTAGCCGCGAGGATTGGCGAGAGGAGAACTTGGGTGTATGCAAATTGGTTGGTGTTCGCTGGGATAAATGTGACGGCGGGAGACCACTCGAGACAGTGGTGTGTAGCGAACTACGAGGCGGTGTTGGAACATTTGAGTGCAAAGATCTGTGGAGTTTTTGTAGCTGGATTGTAGCTGTCGTGAAGCTGAGGAGTGTTTCCGGAAGTAGGCGGTGCCGGGCCAACCCGTTCCCTTCCTATTGTTTGGACCTAATTTTAATACAAGCTATTTCGGCATAATGGGGACAGATTCGACCTGAAATTGATTCCGAGTTCGATGGCTCAACCCCCGGTACTTGACTGGAGTGGAAAAAGTGGAACTGCATTGCCTCTTGTCTGGCATAAAGAGCATTGAACACGTAATTCCTCTGCGGCTGTCTGGCGGGGCTTTCGCTGTGTATCAACAGCTCAGTGTTGAGGAAAAACAGGATTATAAGAGAATCAAGGCAGCACTATACAAAGGCGTTTGCTATATCGACCCCGCCACTGCATGGGGAACAATTCGAGGCAAGAACTTTACTTCCAGGCGAAACTGTCGACGTGTATCTGGCGAGCTAACGAAGTTGACGGTGTTGTTCGGTGGGCTGCCCGAGCGGGCCGCGCATGGAAATTTCTGGCAGGGCTCCCAACCCGAGCAAAGCAACTCCTGCAAGTGAGCTCAAGCATAGACTCGTTGTCCCTTAATGACCTGGTAGACCGGGCCAGGACTGTGATGAAAGATAACTCTGAGGTGAGAGAACGGTAGTCGCCGCTGCACAGTCCACACCGGTGATGATAGACCGTATCAGGGGCCCAGCCCCGTGGTGGGCTCATATGTTATAGGTGCGGTGGCCAGGGCCACATTGAGAGGAACTGCAGGAGGCGACTGACAGCTGTTCGCTGCTACCCCGTGTAATGAGACTGGACATATGGTCGGGATTGTGCGAGAAACGGGCCGGGACAAGGTGCCAGCGTCGACCTCTTCCCCAAGCAGAAATTAGATGAGGCGCTTCGATCATTCAGGTCTATATTAATGAGACATTGTGCTCAGCACTCCTCGATTCGGTTGCTCCCGCACCATAGTGTACACGGACCTCTGCCCACTTGGAAGAAGAGGAGTGTCAGGGGTGACCACCATCAGTGGAGAAACACAGAAGGTGTTGCGGGGTGCGCCAGTGAACATCCGTACAAGAACTGGAAACTTCGGCCAACATCGAGGCGCTAGTAGTGCTTTCGAAAAAACCACTGAGTTTTGACCTGCTTCTAGGCTATGATGCCATCAGAGCTTTAGGTGGTGTTCACATAACGCAGACGGGGACAGTACAGTTTCAGGAGAGGGCCCCAGTGTGCGCAGCTCTGAGGATCGACCACCCGGACTTTAGTGTCGAATTTGACCAGCAGCAGAAGACTTGGACCACCTCATGGAGGTGGTCGGAAAACCAGGAACCAGCCAAACTGCGGAACGAGGTAGCCGAGTACCATGTGCCCGATCAAATAAGGCCTGCATAACGAAGGGGAGCTCCGTGAATGGATCAAGGATGGCTGGTTGATTCCTTACCCCTATGAAAAACTTGGACCTCCCAAAGGCCTGATCCGCTGATGGCGGTTGCTCAGCACAACAAAGCAAAGGTGAGGCCAGTGATGGACTACCCGCGAACTAAATGCGCATGTTGATGCGTTCACGGCAGATGCTGACGTTTGTGCCAGCAAGCTACGAGAATGGCGCCAGCAGGGT